GTAGTAGTAGTAGTAGTAGTAGTAGTAGTAGTAGTAGCAGCGGCAGCGGCAGTGTAGTATTAGCAGTAGTAGTAGTAGTAGTAGTAGTAGTAGTAGTAGTAGTAGTAGTAGTAGTAGTAGTAGTAGTAGTAGTAGCAGCAGCAGCAGCGGCAGTGTAGTAGTATTAGTAGCAGTAGTAGTAGTAGTAGTAGTAGTAGTAGTAGTAGTAGCAGCAGCAGCAGCGGCAGTGTAGTATTAGTAGTGGTAGTAACAGCAGCAGCGGCAGTGTTAGTAGTAGTAGTAGTAGCAGCAGCAGCGGCAGTGTAGTAGTAGCAATAATAGTAGTAGTAGTCGTAGATCTGAAAAGGATATGGCCTTTGCCTATTCGCCATTCAAGTCGAAAGATCAGCAGCCGTAGAGGCAGTACTGGGGAAAGAAACATCAGCAGCCGCAGAGGCAGTACGGGAGAAAGAAACATCTGCAGCCGCAGAGTCAGCCCTGGGGAAAGAAAGATCAGCAGCCACAGAGGCAGCCCTGGGGAAAGAAAGATCATCAGCCGCAGAGATATCCCTGGGGGGCGATGCTGCTGACATCTCTGGAAGCCTCCACTCCATGAATTGGACAACCTGCCCTGGCAGCTCTGCCAACAACTCCTGGGCAAGGTGGAGACTGCTAGTGATAGTATTCATGGAAACAAATTGAACAATGTCCCGCTGAGCAGTGTTGCCATTAAGTTGAAGGGGTTCATCATCACTATCAAGGGTAATCATGCTGGAAAAATCTGCATTGCCCAATCCCACAATCAGGATGGACATAGGCAAGCTGGAAGCCTTTATAATTGCGGAGATGGTGGCTTCCATGTCATTGATTACCCCATCAGTAAGAATGAGAAGGACACTGTACTTCAGCTCGCCAGTGTATTTAGAATGACACTCTTTCCAGTGCGCTTCAGCTATCTCTGAAGATCTCGTGATGACAGGGGAAAACAGGGTTGGACCCGCTAGAGTGACACTGCGAATTGCTTGACGATAGGCATCCAGTATACCTTTAACTCCCACTACCCGTGCATCGTAGGGGTCGCCGTTCAGGTTAAAGCAGTGAGAGACCATCCCCGCTGCCACTCGCCCACCAAATCCCCAAGCAGGGTACATCCTCTGCATGTCGTAGTGCTCAAGGATATGGCCTACTGCTCGTATAGCCTGCTGATACGCATTACCCTCAGAATCATCTCCTTGGGGATCTATATAGTGGAGGGAAGTGGGATGATGGGGGTGGCCATTGGATGCCGTGAAGTCTACAGCCACATGGAAGGTGATGTCACAACCCGAAGCAAGGTACTTCATGAATGTCTTCTTGTATTTTATGCAACACCAAACACAGATAAGTGATCCCCTATTCTTATCAGCCTTATACTTTCCTTTCTTTCCAACGGTCTCCTTCCTCTTGTCTGCCGCCGCCTTTTTCCTGTCTTTCTTACTCTCTCGTCTTAGTGGCAATTCTGTTTGGCTTTGTGCGTCCTTGAGCACCTGCTTTAATGACCTGTCAATGCTTCCTATGAAGTCATCGGCTGTGAATCGATCATAATCGAAACACTCGAATCTCAGTGGGCGCTCGATGTCGCCATTGCAGAGATGTTGCAGAGAGATGGTGAAGCGATCCCACTTAGGGTTCAAATCCCGTCTGACCACCTCTGTTCTGTGAACAGGAGCAAGGCTACCATCCTCAAGAAGCTTCGAGATCACCAGATATGGATCACTTTTCCCGAAGTAGTCCATCTTTTCCAGGTTCTCGGCCTTAAACTCCAGTGTTACAGTGCCATTGCTCAGAGGATTCACCTCCTCCATGTGGATAGTCAGTGTGCCCCTTGGGGACTTGCCTTTCCCAGAACCCTCTCCTCCTTCTCTGCCGCCGCTGCTGCTGCTGCCGTACCGCCCACTTCCCCAAGATGGCAGCAACTGACGACTCAATCCAGACCTATCTAGTACACCCGATTTGGATTGCTGCTGTGGTGCTCGGTCCTCCAGATCCAATGTTAGCACTTGCCCATCTGCCTTCACCAACTCTGACACATAGCAATGGGTTTGCCCGAGGAATTCTTGCTGGGACAAGTCGAGAGATGAAGTGTCAGCTCTATCTTTTGGGAATTTGTCCACATCGTAAACTGTAAATCGGAGCTTTTGCAATGACTCAAAGTGAAACATGATTGTGAAGCTCTTCATCCAAGCTGGATTGAGGTTATTCATTATCACCTCCGTTCTCCCGATCTCTGCCCAACCCGGTGCCGCTTCAGTGAATGTCTCTGACAAGTCCACGACTGCCAATGGGTCCGATTTGGATAACAGGTCTTTGTCAAGCAGATTATTCGCTCTCAAGCTGATCTGGATCAGAAATCCTTCCTCTCGCTCAACTCTCTGCACTTCCACAAGTGAATCCTGCTGCTGTTGGGATGACGCCCAAGATCCGGTTGTGGCCGGACAGTCCTTATTCGTTTGAGTCGCTTCTACATTATGGAAACTTGTAGAGCAGTGGCTCGGTACTGACCAGGTACTAGAACTGCTGGAAGAATGTCTGTTAAAGCTAGAGACTATCGAGGGCTGCTTGCCAGAGCTGCCAACGGTGCCTGTTAGCATAGGGCAGACAGAGCTGATTGAGGAAACAGTCGCCGAAGCAGAGGTGGTACTCGTTGAAGATTGGATCGTGGCGGACAATTGCACACCTTCTGCAGTAGATCCACGCTCATCGTCCTGTGCTCTGGAAGTTGCCTCTGTTTTGTGATCTTCCTCCCATGATCGCCGTGGCCACATGGTCTTCACTCAACCAGTGACAATGCACCACTCTATTTTTCAGGTAGTGGAACCTTCACCGACGATTGCCCTCTAGCTTATCATTCTACCTGTTCTTTCCTGTCTTTGCACTACCTGCTACTGTCTTTCACTCTGTTGAGATACTTTCTAAGACTCTTCTACATGCGTGCTGCAGCTCCTTTTTGCTTTTGTCTCCTTCCTTGCTATCCTCTTCTCCATTCTGAACTTCTTTTCTCTTCTTCCAGGTACTGCCCTCCTAACAGTCAACCCCTCTCCCTCCCACCCCCCATAGTGTCGCTTTCACATTGACCCAGTGACACGCATGCACCAAAGTGGAAGCTCAGATTGGTATTGAAAAGGAAGGGGAAGGGGAGTTCTCTATCTGACAATTTCTTTTTGCGTTTGCAACTTTGCAAGCTAAACTGAACTATATGAATGGATGAATAGATAAGGGAAAGCCAAAAGGTACAGGACGGACAAGACTGTGCGAAAGAGACATAACAAGGGAAGAGGAAAGAAGGGGATAAAGTCGCAAAGCCAATACGTAAATAAACAAATTTAAGGAATACAGATAAGAAAGGCGTCCTTCAGGACATCCTTTAGAACTGGCACCATACAAAGAAGACTACGTAGCATGGCATCTGCAGAAGGATGATACGCACAAATCGAGCAATGGTCCAAAATTTTGGAACAGAAAAAAAATATATATATATCTATCGTCAAATAGAATATATATATCGTCACAAATATATATATATATATATATATATAAATATCGTCACAATATATATATAAATATCGTCACAAACAGAACTGCCCGGTAAACCGTAGGCAGAGAGAGAGAAGAGGACAACAAACGAGGGGCTGTGACAAACTGTTTCGTCGGAGTTTCACCGACTCATCAGGAGGCTGAACCCTAATATATATATATCGTCATATATATATATCGTCACAAACAGGACTGCCCGGTAAACCGTAGGCAGAGAGAGAGAAGAGGACATATATATCGTCAAATATATATCGTCACAATATATATATTTGACGATATATATATTGTCACATCACTATATATATATCGTCAAATAGAACTGCCCGGTAAACCGTAGGCAGAGAGGGAGAAGAGGACAACAAACGAGGGGCTGTGACAAACTGTTGAACTGCCCGGTAAACCGTAGGCAGAGAGGGAGAAGAGGACAACAAACGAGGGGCTATATATATCGTCACAAACAGAACTGCCCGGTAAACCGTTGGCAGAGAGAGAGAAGAGGACAACAAACGAGGGGCTGTGACAAACTGTTTCGTCGGACTTTCACCGACTCATCAGGAGGCTGAACCCTAGATGAGAAAGGGCATCAGAGTACCAGCTGGCCTAGATGAGGTGCTACACGCCTGAACTGTTGAAATACAGACCAGGCGCTGAGTTCGAACTCCACTGGGAGCAGACGAGTAAAATACTACAATTTTCTTTTTGATTTTTTTGAAAAAAGAAGGGCATCAAAGTGGATATGAGACACACTTAAAGAGCTGCGGAGATGAGACCAGGGAAGGAACCTTGCTTGACAAAGGTAGGATAGAAAGAGTGGACACGGTGTAACTGCAATTAAACGCAGGAAGGCTACGATTCTCTATGATGTGGCAAGGCGCAGAAGATTTTCGCAGAGTACTCTGCAGAGAGTAGTCCACGTAGCACGCATGCGGCAGAATGGTACACACGTGTCGCTGATAGTAACCAGAACATGAGTTCAAATCCTGCTGGAATCAGCGTAGTCCTGGTACCCATGTGACTCAAAATGGGACACACATATAACTGCTAACAAAACACGAGTTCGATGGAATCAACGTCCAGGTAGAGTAAGTCACAGTAAGCTCAGCTGCAATGCTGAAGGGGAAAAACTCAAGCCAGCCCTGAGAAGAAGAGAGAAACGACAGATAGCGGCAGGAATAATGAGATTTCAAGAGCGGAGTGAGTGAGGTGAGGTCCACCCACCCCGCGAGAGGCGACAAAGACCGTAAAAAAAACACCCCTACCTTAAAATGTTGGCCATTTCAAAGGCAGAGTGAGTGAAATTCACCCCCCCAAGAGGTGCCAAAGTCATTACACCCCTACTTCCTGAAAAATTGGGCTATTTTGAGGGCAGAGTCCGTGAGGTTCACCCACCCCGGAAGGTGCCAAAAGCATTAAACTCCCACTACCTGAAAACTTGGGGTAATGAAAGCAAAACCCGCTGCAGTCAGGTTGCCAATCCAACTTAAAAAAGGCAGGCCGCCTCGTGACCAGGTCGGTCACCAAACACAATCACAACACAATCGTAAATCGTAGCACAATATGTGAGGCTTTACTCTTGTGGTCCTTTGTGGAGGACATAATGTGCCCAGAAAAACAGACCGGGAGGGTTCAAGTGAACGCTCCAGCATCGCCCTCCTGCATTGTCCCCTCAGGTCACAACAAAGGAACGAACGCTGGTGTCTGTGTTTTTGAGAAAGGGTTTCGAGTGACGACAAAGTAACCTTTGGTGGCACTGCAGTACGGCATACAGCATGGGATCACTTAACAATCTTGTATTTCAGACTTGTGGGCCAAAAAGAAATCTGACTGAATAGATGCCCCCACCATTCGGTCTCTGCTTTAACGGATTCCAACTCGGGTGGTTTGATTGGCACAATTCAGAGGCCAGAAATGGGTGGGCAGGAGGCCCAAGCGCAGGAAGAGCAAGATCCAATCTGTGGACTTCACGCGAAGGGATGGTAGGAAGACGGCGAAGGCCAGACGAGTCCCAAAGGAGAGAATGCAGGGACTACAACACACTACGTCGAAGTTACAAAGGATTCTAGGTCCGCATGACTATCGGGAAGTTCACGTACGCATAGACTGAGAGTAGGCAGGTAAACATGGCCTGACTGACATTCAATCGCCTTGTCAAAGGAGTGATGATCAAGGGATCAAGGGTGGCGAAGCGTTCCTTGGGGTCACAACGGAAGGAAGCGCGTTTGAGTAAGTTGCACATAATATTTGACTTGCTGATGGAAACGGAAACGAGGCAATGGTCGCAAGAATAGAAGAAGGAGCCAGGACCATGAGGCCCTGTTTGGCAGTTAGTCAGTCCACACTTTCAATAGACCTTAAAAGAAGCTATAGCAGACAAGATGGAAACATGTGAAAAATCAACAAAATGGGCAACAGGTTGCCAATCCTCTCAACAAGCCACTGAAGACAGCGGGTTTGTTCGACTAATTGAAGGCAATCAGGACATAGCACATACTACATAGCCTTTCGGCTTGGCTGTGCTGCTGCTCTCAAGTACATACCACATATTCCATAGTCTAAATAGCTACTTGGCGTGCGTACTACATAGTTTGAAGAGCTACTTGACTATAGTCTTACGCCTTAGCTGTGCTGCTGCTGTGAAGCACATAAAGAGCTACTTGACTATAGTCTTACTCCTTAGCTGTGCTGCTGTACTCCTTAGCTGTGCTGCTGCTGTGAAGCACATAGTGTATACTACATAGTCTAAAGAGCTACTTGACTATGGTCTTACTCCTTAGCTGTGCTGCTGCTGTGAAGTATACTACATAGTCTAAAGAGCTACTTGACTATAGTCTTACTCCTTAGCTGTGCTGCTGCTGTGAAGCACAGTGTGCATACTACATAGTCTAAAGGGCTACTTGACTGTACTGCTGCTGTTCACAGAGAAGTGAGTAATCTCCTCAGAGAGGTGAGCAATGTAAGGCAGAAATAGAGTACGTAAATGACTGTGCTGCTGCTCTTTTTTTCCTTCCCTTTTTTTTGTGTACTGACGGACCACGGATCAGATATTAAACTGTTTTTTTCAAATATTTCAGGAGCTAAGAGCGAAAGTAACAATGTCCTTCAGGACACCAGTTAAAATTGGAATGATACAGAGAAGATTAGCATGGGCCCTGCGCAAGGATGACACGCATAAACCGAGAAATAGTCCAAATTCAACAAAAAAAAAAGAACAAAAAAAGAACAAAAGTAACAAATGCCTAGCTCAGTTGGTACACCCAAGAACTGTTGAAATACAGACCCAAGTTTGAATCCAGATACAATCAGATTGACCAGAATAAAATCATTCTGAATTACCAGGGGACGGTCAGTTAAATGATGATATCTCAAGGCCGTAGCCCTTTTTTCTTTTTCTTTTTTAAAGAAAAAGTCAACACACGAAATATCGAAAATCAATTCAAATAATCAATAAATCATAGACCAATGGGGTTGCTAAATTTGTCACGTTACGGAATATCTTAAACCACCAGCACATTGCCCGGGCAAACTTGAGAATCGGAATCGAGCGAATCCAAAACTTTTGGGGGCTCGGGGCTACCAGACCACAATGGCTGGCAGCGCCAGCCAAAAAAAAAAAAAAAAAGTACGCCGCTGGCGGTTCGACAAAGCTTTGCACGCAATGGGAACCCGCCACGGCAAAAAGAGGCTCGGATGTACTGGTCCTTAACTATTTGCCAGGTGCCTGTGAATGGCAGTACGTCCTCTTTACCTGTGCTTCCACTGTAAGGATCCTTAATACTGTCAAGCTGTGCCAACCAGTCTTCGGTGGATCTAAATAAGAACCAGTCGCCGTTCGACCTAAATAAGAACCTGTCGTCGTTGGACCTGAACCAGTTGTCGTTGGACCTAAATAAGAACACATTAACAGTCAAGGACCTGCTGCCATCGACAAAGATGAAGCAACAAGTAGGTCTACACCCTTCTGCTCTTGCTTCCACTACACTACTATCTTCAACTCTGTGCAGTTTTGTCTGCTCCCCACTTCTTCTCTTTTCTTCTTCTTCTTTCCTTGCCCCTCCTCCAACTCCCCCACTCCTCTGAATGGCCACAGTCTCCCCTTCACCCCATCGTTGCCAGTATCTGGTCCCTTGGTGTATGGAAGTTGGAAACCCAATTTAACCCAATTTTGCTGTGCGGTCTTTTTTCTGCACGTGCACCTTCAGCCAAGTATGGAATTCAAAATCAAATCATCAGAGCCAGCCGCGTTCCTAGGTAAAACCCAAGGGAAAAAAAACACATGCATGGAGACACAAACACACACATGT